GCAGAGAGGGTACTTCATTAGAATCACATTTTCTCATTTACATTGCGAGGGCAGCTGCTCTGAGCACCTGATTGCTATATCAGGCCAGCAGCTGAGAGCAATCTACAAATGGAAACGAGGCAAAGTTGCGGTACCCCACCCCTGCCCCATCCTGGAGCAATATGCAAAACCCTCTAAAGTCTTTCTATTCTCTTTAGAACATTCATCAGAATCTTGACTGTGCTTCTGGATGCGTGAGTGCTCCCACAGTCTTGCCTCTCCAACTACACCTCCTGCAACTCCCTTCCTCCCTCCCTAAGTTCCGGCTCCAACCCTCTTTTCATTCCTAAGTATGCCAAACAGTTTCCCATACCAAGGTATCACACGTGACGTTTCTCCTTCCTGCAATGTTCTTTTCCTCGTACCTCATATGGTGACTTTTCCTTACTCTTCTGTTTTCCACTTAAATTTTAAATCTTCCTTGACCACCCTCTGTGATACCCTCCAGCCCCAACTCATTTATACCAGAGTACCCAAGTTCTATTCATCATAAAACAGGGGGCAGCCTATAATCAACTAGATGATAGACAGATAGATAGATACATAGGCAGGCAGACAGATGGCTGTTTCCTATTAATGTTTGCCTCCCCTATTAGACCATTTCACTACAGCCTCTCTGGATCTGTTTTTTTCATTGTATTTTCAAAATCCAAGTGCTCAACACAGTTTTGTTGAATACGGCATACTGTTTTCTTTTTTTCACCACATTTCCTTGAAATGATGTAACTAATTTGCATATATTTTCAAGTTATTTTACTTAAACGTCTAAAATTCCCCTGCCCGGACCACTGTCCACTAGGTGAGAAAAGCATGGAAGAGACAACATTCCATCCCCTTTTTTTCAGCACAAAGCACTACAAGAACAATACTGCAGGAAAATTTTTAAGTGCTACAATGTGTTTTTTAATTCACATTGAATTCCTCATTCTCAGGCATGACCTATTTCTAGATTTATTGGAATTTTTACTTAAATGCATATCCATTTATTACCTTTTGTCATCAAAGTGAAGCATGTAGTTAAGTCTGCCTTTCTGCAGTATGTGTCGAGAAAATTTAAAAAAAATCCACTCAAATCTTGTTTTAATCTATAAACTAGTGTAGGTAACTTTTATTGCAAGTACACATAAACATTTTTCTTATGTTATTTTACTCCCAGCTTCTAGCCAAAACATTTTTTTTTTAAAGCAGGGCAGGAGGGTCTTGCAATCGTTGTAGAATTTCAAGCCTTAGTCAAAAAAAAAAAGTCCCAAGAATCTTTTCAGAAATCCTGTTTGGGCGCTATTCCCAGCCTAATTTTGCAAACCAAGATGTTTGGGCAGTGCTGGTATGCCAGGGATAAGCAGTTGAGGATTTTTACCTGAATCTAACCCAAACTCCAGCCCTAATTAAAATACCACAACATTGTCAACTCTTTTTCTACGTTAGACTTCAGTTTAGCTGAACTAATTCCACTTCTGGAATACAGCCTCTCATTTATGTTCCTGCTGATTGCTTATAATTTCATTTCAGCTCTCCTCTTGCTTTTCAAAGGACAGAAGTATCGTCCCAATTTTTGTTGCTATGCAGACATCTCTGAAGTTGCATACTAAAGCCAAATAGCATGGATACGGTGACAGGAGCTTCTGAAGCTTTCTGTTTTATCCGTTTTCCTTTTCTGATGACTGAGGATGGTGAAAAAGATGCCTTATAATGCTTTATTTATATTGTCTTATGCCTTCTGGAGAAAGAAGTACTGATATATAGATGCATACTATATGTCTATACCTATATTCATTTTAATTGCCAAATACATTTGATGTTGGGCTTTTAGTTCAGAGTCCCCTATATAGGAAGCATGAACTGTAAAAACCAGCGCAAACTCTGTGTGTTTATACTCCACACGTACATGTAATGGAGGCTTAGAAGCTATCAGTCTCTAAGAACATGCCCTAAATTCTTTGAAATCCCATCAAAGAAAATCAGCAAAGGACACAGGTTCTCTATCCCTCATCCCAAGACCTCTTTACATGCGTATCCACCTTTTCATCCTGTTGCCTTCAAACCTTCTAAAAAGCCCCTAAATTTCAACTTGCATTACCTGTTGCTAGTGCTGCTGCTATTCCCTCATTACTATTTCACTCGACGTTCTGGAGCCTAGCATGAAGTCTAATGTAAAGTGACAAGTTAAAACCAAGGGGCTTCAAAGTACAAATTGTATATGATCTTCTTGCCATAACAGAATAGTGACATTGTCCTGTAAAATTATAGCATCTGTGCTCTTTTACTCCAGAGGATTAGCAGCATGAGTTCCATTCGATCATTAATGGGAATTCTAGAGAGATCTGGAACTGTTTCCCAGAAGAACAAGAGAGAGTAGAGTTTCCAGATTCTCCATATAAATAATTTTCTTAAATTGTAGACATATCGTTTATTAAATTGAACAGTTATTTACTGGCCATCTATCCTAAATGCCACACATTAGGAAGTGAGGGAAAGTCAAAGATGTCTCTCTCATGGAGCTCAGATTTTAGTTCGGAAGACATTAAACAAATAAAAGAATAAATAGAACATATATTGGGTTGGAGGTGATGAGGTTTGTAGAGAGAAGTAAGGCAGAGAAGAAGGAGAGGGCTGGGCGAAGGATGGAAAGTGGTGGGCAGTGGATGGAATTTTAATAGGGTGATCAGGGAGGTCTTCACTACATAAAGACATTTTTTGGGGAAAATTCTGAAAGAGTCAGACAGGTAGAATACCCAGGGGAAGAGCATGCTAGGCAGAAGGAAAAATAAACACAAAGGCCCTGAGAAGGCAGCATACCTTATGTGTTGTAGGAACAGTAAGAAGATCAGAGAGGCTCACATGCCAAGAACAGAGAGAGCGCTTCATATGATGTCAGAGAGGTCAGGTGTAGGGGCAGGCAGTCCAGGCATGGCCTTGTGAGCCAATGTTAGAACTTCAACGGTTATGTTTTACTCTGAATGACATAAGAAACCTTTGGAAGATGTATTACTTTCCTGGGGCTGCCATAACAGATTGCTACAAACTACGTTACTTAAAACCACAGACATGTATTTTCCCTTAGTTCTTCTAGAGGATGGAAGTCTAAACTCAAGGTGTTAGTAGATCTGTGCTCCCTCCAAGGGCTCTAAAGGAGAATTCCTCCTTACCTCATTTGGCTTCCCATGGCTCCAGACATTCTTTGGCTTGGGACTATGTCACTCCAGTCTGTGCCTCTGTGTTCTGGTGGCCTTCTCCTCAGTGTCACTGCATCCTCTCCTTCTGTATCTTATAAGGACACTTGTCACTGGATTTAGAGCCCATCTGGATAATACAAGAGGATCTCATCTTCAGATCCTTAATTACATCTTCAAAAATCTTTGGTTGGTTGGTTGGTTGGTTTTTCAAATAAGGTCACATTCCCAGATTTTAGGGATTAGAATATGAATATAACTTCTGGGATGGTGGGGACAATTCCACTCACTACACAGGGTTTTTAGCAGAGGAATGGCAAGATCTAACTTGTGCTGGCTCTTTCTAGTTTCTGTGGTGGAAAAAGACTCCAGGGAAGCAGGAAGTCTGTGATATTCCACAGACCATAGGACATAAGGAGCCAATTCAGGTGACTATGGGGTCTGTATCTGAAGAGCAGTAGTGGGGATGGTGAAATCGGCTGGATCCTAGATGTATTTCAGGTAAAGATGACAGAATTTACAGGGGATTTTATGTGAGATGCAAAAGTAAAGTCAAGGGCAACTTCAAGGTTTTGGGCTTGAATATCTGCAGTTATTTCTGATGTATATGGTAGGAATGCCTTCTTACCTATGAAGCTTGTACATCACTGAGGTCAAGGTCATTAGCTAGCTGCCACTCTGGCTCCATCCATCTCAGGTTGAATGTCATTTCCTTCTGGCAGACTTCCCTGACATCAATAGATTGGATTAACATGTCTCTGTCCTCCTTGCCCTAAGTTTATTCCTATCATAACTCTTTTTGTCATTTGTGTTAATCTGCTTTTGTAGAAGCCCCAAAAGTTAGTGACTTAAAACCAAACCAAACCAAAAACACACACACACACACACACACACACACACACACATGTATTTAGTTCATGATTTTGCAGGTTAATGATTGGCTTTGATTGACCACTAAGCTGGACTGGCTCATGCATCTGTAATTTACTAGGGGGTCAGCAGGAGCTGAATAAGTTATGATGCCCCCATATGAGATTTCTGAGATGACTGGGGTCTTTCATCATGTTCTCTCATCCTCCATAGGCTGGCCTGAGATCATGTCCGTAGCAGCAGTCATGTTTCAGGGAGCGAGCAGAGGCTGCAAGACCCCTGGAAGACAGCTGTAATTTAACTTCTGTCAAATTCTTTTGGTCAAAGTAAGTCACAAATCCAGTCCAGAATCAAGAGATGAGAAAGTAGGGTCCACTCATCTATAGAAGTTACCAATTATTGTTGCAGGTTTTGCAATCTTGCATATCATTTAATATAGTTACTTATTCCTTGCTAGCTAATAAATCCCACAAGGAAAGGAAACAAGTCTCTCTTTGTTCACCACAGCATCCCCAGACAGTAGACACTGAATACATATTTACTAAAGAAGTGAGTGAAAGGATACATAAAAGAATTGATTGTAAAAGAAACTAAAATACAGCTCAGTCAGCAAATGCCATGATCTCTTGGTCTTCCTCCATTCTGTTGACATATGCACCAGAACCCTTATACACTTAGTATTTGTAACCTGTACTTATAGGTGGGGAAACTATTGCTTCAAGTCAAAGATTAGAAGTAGGATGGGCATATGCCAGAAATTGTCAAAATCAGTACTATTTCTCAAATTTCTTAAACACTATAAATATTTGGGATAACTTTTTAAGAGTGTTGGATTTTTATTTACTTAACCTGAAACAACAAATTATTGCAGTTTTCCTTGGAATAGTTATATCTGTATATACAAGTTAATAATATACGTACTTCTTGAGTGATAGCAGGTGCATGTAGACCCATTTTTTTTAGGGTTGTGAGTTCAGGTAGATCTCGTCTTTGTATAAGTCACTTGGCTTTCTGGCTTTCTTTAGGACTGCCTTGCAGACACCAAAGTTTTTCAAAAGGATTCTTTTCCTCCTTACTGATGTTCATGTTAAAATCTAAAATGCAAAGGATTCATTAATATATGACTTTATTGTTAAGCAATGTCATTTTCTGGGAAACAGGTAGGGTTTTACAAATGGACTACAAGGACAAGTTATTGTCCTTTTTGCAATGGGAATACATAAGTACCTTAGAAGTAGAGCTAGGAATTGAATTTAAAATCCCAGTGCCAATCATTTTCACTAATGACTTCATTCCTAAAGCTCCATCTATTTTTCTCTGTCACTCTTTATATCACAAAGAATTCACACTACCTACCAGCAAGATCCTTTTAGATTCTCTTACATCTTTCAAATCCTCCTTAATGTGAACTTCTTTCAGCAATAAACCTGATTGTCTTCCAGTGCCTTATTGATCTAAGTACATCAACCTGTTGTTGGTGCTGCCTGTCTGTTGCAGTTAGTCTAATAAGTCTTTTGGACTATTCAGTTCTGTGTTTGCTAGTGTGCCTATGTTTTGTACAACAAAACATACAACAGAGATGTGGAAACAAAGCAGTAATCCGAGACTTAATTCAGTGAGAGCAAGTCCTGGAGAACTTCTGCCTCTCCAAAGAATATTGTTTCAAAAATAAGAATATCTGGCAAGTAAAGGAGCTGTCTAGGAGACATGAGATGGATACATGAGAGCAGGAACCCAGTTCTTTGAACATTGAAGTGAAGGAATGGGATAAAAGAGTTGGTTCTGCGTTAAACAAAAATTGTTAATCGGTAGGAACTTGTATCTGCTAGGAAGCAAACACTGAAAGGGAATGAGGATGTAAGAATCTCGGAGTTTCATCAGGGACCCAAACCTCTGAAATTCAAAAGAGGTGAGAGTCAGGGGTTGAGCAGATAAGCCTCAGACCGCAATGCAAACCTGACAGTCTTGACCAACCCAAAGGGAACTAGGAATAAAAACTACCCATGAGAGGAATTCTGCACTGGGCAGAAACAGACAGGCCTAAAGAACTCCATTAAGCTTAGTCATTATCTAAAAATGACCTGATAAGGTGGATTCTGAAGGTGGAGTCTTATTAGCTAACTTCATTCCTTGCCACAGAACCACCAGGTTTTTATTGAAGGGAAACTCAAATAGCATACCTCCCTGGCTGCTATGGAACTTTAAGTAGCTTTAAAATATTTGGGAAAGAGTAGAATGTTGAATTAAACCACTCTTTCAACCTCCATTGTAGCCAGTGGGGGTGAGGAGGGAAGGCTACAATCAAAAGATAATTTAAAAGAATCCTAATATATTCAGTCATTCTGTTAATCAGCATAACTTTTTAATCATTTGTGGTTTGGGTGCCCTTTCTAGAGGTTTTACTTGTCATTGTGTTTATGGGAAATTGACGGTTATTAATTGTTTTTAAGCTTGAACCAGTCCTTATTAGAATTCAAATGTATTTCCCACTACTGGGTCCAATATCTATGTAATCATTTATCTTATAGTGAATTTTACTGTAAGTGTAATATTTACAAGAAGCAATTTGTCATTCCTAGGTTAAGTATAGAAACTTCAATCTTTTCTGGATAAATATGTCAAAATCACTAAAATTCAAGCAATAGAAGAGAATGAGGAGCTTATAAGATAGTGTCTTATATTAGACATGGGAGGTTTGCTATTTGGTTTGACTCTGTTATTATTGTTTTATAAATATAATTTCCCAATTATTACCCATCATTAGTATTAATGGCATTAATGCTGGTAATCTGTCTCACTGAGAATTTCAACATGCAATACTTTTTCTATACTAAGTGAGTTCCAGCACTCCAGCAGCAATTCCCACCTTGATTTGCTACACCTGAAGTCTCCAAATACAATTAATTTTAGTTCATATAAGAATATACCATATTGCATTTTGGGTTAGGAAATGGGGTGGCAGATACAAACAATGTTGGACTATTTCAACTCCCTAAATACTTAGATCTTCAGTCTAATTGGCACTACATCCCCCTTTTTCTCACAGTAGATGGCACTCCTTGTCATTTAAACATTTCTCTATGTGTGTGTTCCCAGGTCTGGGGAGCCTGGAAGAACACATGCTCAAGGTAAAGGCTGAGGCCCAGGAGGTACAAATGATCCGTCATGCTTATGCCTCGTGGCTCCTTTCTGTGGCCTGCACCCCAGTCGTGCCCTAACATTTCAGTTGGTCTGTCTCCATTTCCCACTGATCCTCAACTCTATGCTCTGAGCAAATGCCACCGATTGCCCTAGCTCACCCCAGCTCATGGTGCTCTCCCCTGCTGCCCTGCCTGTCTTCGTGTTCATTCACCCTGGCCTTCTCCTCCTCAGTCCCTTATCTCCTCCTGCATCCCTTGCCCAAACAGCTCCTACTCTGTCGTCAAGAGCCACATCAAGCATCATCCAGTCTGTAGAGAACTCCTTAATTGCCCCCTTCTTTGCTTTCTTTCCTCTGTATGTTTTTTCTTTGTACAGTTGCCCAAGATTAATATCAATCTGTTTATATGTCTGTTTCCATCACTTCCACTAAAAACTGAAGGCAAGGATAATACATTTTCATATATATATATATATATATATATATATATCCTAGATTCTTGCTGACAAAACACTGCTTTTTTGTTGAATGAGTGAATGAATCCCTCCTCCTCATTCTAGTGACCCAGGAGGCCAGCACCTCCACAGTCATTCTCTGAGTTCTCGCTGCAAGTTTCCTCCCTCACTAGCAGACCCAAGAGCACACGAGCACAGGTGGGGCACCATCTTCATTAGGATGTCACCCCCGCACAGAGGTGCTTTCTCTCTACCTTAACTGAAATCTGACTTTACTTGGCATACGGATCTTCAGTTAGTTACTGGAACAAAGTATCTCTGATAGAATAATTAAAACTACTATGAATTCACGTGTCACTCTAAGTGTACATTTGTTCATGTGTTAATTTTGCCAGTAGTAAGTGAATTGAAAAAAAGACTGGGAAGCCAGTAAAACATAGAAATGAACCCCTAATGGTGGCATTTCAGGAAATAGGAGAAGACAGATGGGAAGATATTTCTGGACCAGAGAGCTTCTGGGTGCCCTTCACATTGTACCACAGAAGCCATTTCCATTCCTGTACAGAAGGTTGGATCTGCTGCTACAATACTCTCTGGTTCTCCTGATAACAGTATTTCTATTTTTGTCTTTTATGAAAAGGTAAAATCACCCTTCTTTCTGGTTGTCAGGGAACAGGAAGGAGCCCCTCTCATACAATGGCCAGAAAAAGCCAATAACAAACAGAGTCATCTGTTTTCTACATTCAGTAGACACCATAATAACATTTCCTAGTTTAGAGATAGACAATGAAGCTCAATGGAAACAGATTTGTAATAATTATAATTATACCTTACACTGATTAAGTGTTTACGCAGGTGCTATGATAAGCCTTTTCCTTTATTTCTTACACCAACTATATAAGTAAGGTTATTTTATTATCCATCTTTTTAGGGAAGTTAGGTAACTTGATCATGGTCAGACAGATAAATGTCTGAGTCACAAAAATGGTGCCCAGAAAGTTATGATTCAGATCCCTAAATGTGCCATCTGGAAGGCATCCCCTGGTTTAAAGAAGGGGCACCTAATTATGATTACATGTCAATATACAATCTAGTACTACTGGTACTATTATCACTTTTCTTTATATGGCAAGATATTTATATTTACATTTCCTTTTGTATTCATGAGAGTACAGAAGACATAATTTCTAAATCCAATTTTTACATTAAACAACTGGTATAGAAAATATAAACACTGCTGTTATTTTGAATATTTTTCTGAAAAAATTTATAAAACATCTACAATATGTAAAGGACACTTCAAAAATATTTGGAGAGATATTTTAGAGGAAACTGTATGGTCCCCGATTCAAAAGAGTTTACAGCCTGAAAAGTAATATTAAAACCTCAGTAACATTACAAATCCAATCTGTATATAAGCTGTGTCCAAATAGATAGAAAAAGAACCCTGAGAACTCACCCATCCACTCGGAGAGCAATCAGACTATTGGATGTCAGAGATATAAAATAACTATTGTCTTCACCCTTTTACTTTCAGGCAATTGCTTCCTAAACACTGTTATAGTCACTAAGTCTGCATACTTCAGAAACTCCAGATCTCCACTAAATCTCATGGAAATGTGTGATGGCGTTTTTCTCGAGATTTCCTTTAAAGTGTCACTTCCGTCCATCAAGTCAGAGTTCTTATAAGTGTAGTGTGTTTAAATTCTTTATCTTTCCTGACAGTCTATGAGTCCCAATAGCAGCAAAAATTCTGAACTCCTTACTACTCTCTGCAATGTGCTTATATGTTTATGTCGAGAATTTTAATGCCATTTGTTGAAATATAGTTAATCTATGTCATTTGATTCACACCAAGTTAATGCTATCTCCTATAAAGCTATGATCAATTGAGTCAACTAGTTGGTCTGGCTGATTTTTCCTTTGAATTCACATAATTGCGGGGCTGTTTAAGTATCTGCTGACACCTTTACACAGAGAGAAGGCAGGCTTCACATTAGCTTGCTAAAAGAGGGTTATTCTTTTCTTCTGAGATCTGCTGCGGACTTACTGAGCGGCTGTTGGCAAGTTATGATCATATCTGCCCTTTCCTCTTTCTTATTTTTAAAACAAAATTATGAATATAAAGCAACACAGAAAACTTCTAGAGATGCTAAATGAATGCCTTAATAATCATTGTTTATTGAAATATACATCTGCATTGTACAAAGAGAGCAATTTCTTTTACCCTGAAATGCCAACAAAAGCAATATGAAAAAAATAGCAACTTAAAGACGTTTTTAAAAAGCTCCCATTCAGTAGTACAATTGGGTTCTTTTGAGATAATTAATCATTAAAATATATTTAAGTACTATCTTCTATTTACATTACAGTACATATCACTAGCTCTTTGAAAGTTAACAGGGATTAATTTTCTTTCAAAACAAATATTCCACTTAACGAATTGTCTGTCTGTGTTCTTTCAATGCTGTCTACGCCATTCAAGCCAAAGCACTGATCTCATTCAAAACTCAGAATTTCATCCAAATTTGTTTACCTGGCTACTAATAAAAGATTTTTGGTATGCTGTCTGAAACCCTAATGACAAAATAGGGAGAATCATAAAATGTTCATAAAAATTGGATTGGATCGAACATCAGCTAATCTGAGTATATTTTTCTCTACGATTAACAAGTTCTTGAATGACAACATTTCTTATCTTACAACTGTGACATGAAGAGGGAGCTGTAGCTCTTCTGAGACACAGTTCTCCAAGAACCAGCTTATCCACGCTCTCCGATCTCGTGTCTGTTTCTCTTTCTCTCTCCGTCTCTTGCGCCTTCCCTCATTCACGCACTCTTCCATCTTTCTGCCATTGTGCCAGCTCAATTTAAATGTATCTTCTCTGTATCTGTTCAAGTGGAGATAATCCATGCAAATCAGGAGCCGTGGCTCTCAATGCCTGGTTCACAGAGAGGACTCAGCTTGAGGAGGTCACTCGTTCACAGCCGCTCCTCCCATTATATTTTTCCCCTTATTGCAGAACTGCTGTATGTATACAGTGACTGAAAGGACTCAATTTACTGCAACTGCTGCCTGGCTTTACTTACAACTTTTTTTTTTTATATATAAAGGAACTTACCTCCATCTGTCTTTTCAAGGTAGGAAGTCTGATTCTTCTAAAGACGTGTGTAATGCCTCCACTGTCTGCTCATTATCAAATGTCACTTGAATGCTTTATATTGTTGCTGGCATTAGGCACAAATACTGTGATTCCAGGTGCCTCACGCTTTTGTTACTTAACCATATAGGTACAATTGTTTAAGTGCCGGGTATTATAATGTTTATTTTTCCTGCAGCCAGCTTCAGTTTTACAATGCCAGAAAGATTAGAGTATCCACTATCTAATGTAAAAATATAATCCTCTATCAAGTTTTCCCTCTTAGAAAAATATTAATTTCTCAATATGGTTTAACTTATTACGTATGCTGGCCAATAATAGCCAAGTGTAAAATTCAACCGTGTTAAGATTTTTTTTTTTAACCCAGAAGCCTCCTGCAGCATTTTCTGTGAAAAATAACTAACTGTTGAAATATTTTTAACAAAAGCAACAAAATAATAGATTTTACTTCATTCTGTTGCCGAGCAAAAAGCTGAAGGCCTTATTGCTAATAGGCTATAAAATAGATTTATTCTTCACAATTTATAAATTGTTACTAGGCTATGCAGAAGTATTACAATTAGTTAGGATTCAGTTACTGTCGTTATCCATGTGATTATTTGTTGTTTTGAGATTGAAATTGTTTTATAGAAAATTTTAATGTAGTAAGGCTTTAAGAAACCCTTATGTTTATATAACACTGTCTGAGATCAATTTTTAAGAATGATTTCAATAGCCAAATGATTAAGTTTGGATTAAAAATGCATGTAAGAGGCTAGCAGATTCCACAGTATACATGGTGATTTATGTAAGCAATTCCTGGGCTTACATTACTTCATATGTGTCTCCTTGAAGTTACTTACAATATTTGAATCATTCCTTAGTCATATCCATTTTAAAACATACTAAAATGTCATAACATTATAGACTCAAAAATCTTTTTGATGAGTACAAATATAATTAGAACATTCCAGTTACAATTTAGATCTCAATAAATGTAATATGTCTTTGAAAGTATCCTTATTAATTTAATTTTGCATTTATTACCTTATTTTTCTAAGAAGGCTTTGACTTGTGGCTATGACAAGGCTATTTAATCTCTTATATAGGATAGAATTGAACATAAACAGTAAACAAAGTTGACAGTCCTGAAAAGAAGAAAAAATTATCATCTGGTATACTGAATAGTTCTGATGACATAAATCTTACATTTCATCTTCTAGGTAGATACTTGTAGTTAGTGGAGTTCGAGGGAAAAAATTTATTATCCATATAAAATATCTCAATGCCAAAAATGTGCAGTTCTTTTTCTTTTTGATACAGAGTCTTCTACTGAAAAAAAATGCACCCTGATTTTTGAGTACAGAGCAAGGCATGAAGTCCTGTCATTGTTAGCATAAAGAAGACATCTATACAAGTATTACTGTGCAGAGGGCAATCTTTCTGTCTCTGGCATTTGTTAGGTTACTGTACATAGAATTTAACAGATAAATATGTTCTGCTTCGTGGCATTTTAGTGATCCTATTGGTATGCAAGCTACTCAGCTAGGATAGCAACAGAAAAAAAAAGATGTGTGTGTTATGGCAGTGGGTAATAAAAGCCCTTTACAGTGAGAGAAGAGGAATTTGACTTATTTCTTACACAGTAATTAGAATTTCTGTAAAACTCTTTGAAATACTGAGTTGTAAAGTAAACTGAGGCTTTCCAGGAAGGGCCAATTGAATTTCTGTATTTGAGCCATGTAGTTGTCCGTGAATATCTTCTTCACAGACACTGTCAATGGAGAATTCCATTCATACCTTCAGCATTACAGGGAAAGAAAAGGATTCGTCACTAACAGTAAAGGATGACAATTTCATATTTAAAACGAGTTTGAGAGCAGCACCCTACACAGGAAAACCTTAACAGATGGAAAGGTGCGTGGAATCGCCTGGTTATGTGAACTTGAGACTAGTGTGAAACTAAAGGATGCCCTTTCAGAACAAAGGAATGCCATGTAATACTCTGTTAGCAGTCAAGCTGAGGATAGGTGTAAAAAGTGGCCAAGAAGATCTTTTGGGGACAGAGAAAATGCAAACAACATTCTCTTTTCAACCAAATTACCAGGGTTTGACAGGTATAAAGGCACTCCCTGTGGAATCTCAAACCATCATTTCACAGAGTTATTTCAAAAGCACATATTTTATAGACTTTCGCATTTGTTAGCAAACCTCCGAGAAAACTCTCCAAAGACCTAACTTGTATGCCTTAAGTTAGGTTTTACAACTATGCATCCTAAATAAAATGGTCACAGCCCTCAACTCCCTTGGGTTTCTTTTGCTTCATCTGTAAACTTGCCATTCCTCCAGTAACTCATTCAAGCAACTGTTCAGGATAAGTTACATTTTACTCCATTTTAGTGTGCCTTGCGGCAGAATCTGTAGAACTGGTAAACCTTATGGCTATATATAATACCATGTTGTTATTCCCACCTGGCTCTTTTCGGCTGCTTTTACTGAGTACAGTTAAAAAGATAAATTATCATCTTAAAAGGATGCTATGGAAGGTGTTAATAAGTTCCCTCTAACTTCAGAAGTATTCACTGGGGCCATAGAAACTTGCAACCCTGCTTAAGGGGAAATGATGTGCTTCATCAGTAAACATTCAAAGACTGTATCATCTGTAAACATTTGAAGGATTCTATAATACCATATATATTTGCTAAATATTGGAAGTTATTGCTACATATGGATTCACTATGATATTGATTGAAAGCTCAACAGATTTTGCTTTATCGGCAATAACTTAAGTTTGTACAACAGCACTATGGGGTCAGCAAAACCATCATCCCCATTTCAAAGATAAAGAGGGAGATACAGAGAGGTTAAGTAACTAAGCCAAGGCCACACAGCTGGGGTAGAACTGGAATGTGAATCCATTTATTCTGTTCTTTGAAAAATCACACAATAATGCCTTTCCTGGCTAATTATCTCTGACGACTAATAGTAGGGACATTCCACCCCCTACAAATAGCAAAAATGCTTCGATTTATCCATTTGTCATCTGGATTCAAATATCTGATTCTGATTTTTCAACTCTTTTCATAGCTCTTCACCTCAATCTGTATTATTATGATCGCATAGTTTTTAATAGTTGTTTCATTTAATGCATGTCAGGAATGGTTACTCTTGCAGAACATTTGTCTTTTACCTCAAGGAGTTAAGAACTAAATCAGATCTGTAATTGACTGACTTGTCTACTGACAGCCTTTGTAGAGCCACCACTCCCCACCTTGTTTTTCTGTCTAAAGAGCAAGATTGACATCTCCTTATATGTTTAAAATTCGTCAGTGGCGTAAAGTGCTTGGTAATGATGGAAATTAACCTGAGGCTTTATCTAACTACCTTTCCTGGCAACTCCATTGAAGTTCTGATAACAATTAAAATTTGGATGCAAATAACTGTTCACATAAGAAGAAATTCTTTTTCTGTCTTGTCATACCTTTCTTGAAAATCTGGGTACCAGCAGCTCTTTTCCTTGCCCTTCTCTTCTCTGGATCCATCTGAATGAAATTTTCCCTAGCCAAAATACACCAGCACATTAGAAAAGCAGATAAAGAAAACAAATGAAGTAGCAATGCATGTTTAAACAGTTTGACTGTGAAACACTGAACATAATTATCTGTCCTTGTGTCAGTAGGTGTTATCTCCTTAAGGAGAACTGAGTAAGAACAGGTCCGTACAGGGCAGCATTTGTGGCCTTACTTCTGTCTGTTTATTTGGGATAGCCTTTGAATTGTCTCCCACTGTCTTTCCTCCCAATGTGAAAAGAGGAACTATTATACATGTAACCCACAGGAATCTGATTAAAGGCCTATGTTTATTTGACCTGTGGATATCAGATATCTAATATAAACAAAATCCCAAACAGCATCAACACATAATCAAGTGGCAGAAGTTTGCAGAACATGGGTCAGTAGCAATTGAGCAAGCTACACGTTTCTCAAGTAACAAATGAGAAACAATTTTGATGGTATTCTGTGATACCAGCATCCTTTTTAGATCTTATGTGAAGTATCAGGCAGATGGACTGCCCTGTATATCCACAACCTTTATCTGCTGGCAGGCAGAAAGCCCAAGAACCTATCTTTAAAGTTATTTTAATATATCAGTTTTGCCCAGATTAGCCAAGTTAGATGTCGACCATTGGTACAGGAAAGGTTGGGAATTAATTTAATTTTGAGCTAACCCTGCCATCATCTCTTGCTGAGTGAGTCCCTTAGCCCATGAGACATTCTTTTCAGATTTGATTTCTTCATTACTTGGTTGATATTCTCTCCTTGGAAAAAAAAAAAAAGTAGTGAGAAGAAAACAGAGGATGGTGATTTTGAGTCTGTGTTGATAGAAACAGTCAATGGGTTAAAACTGACCTACAACCATTTGAAGAATGTGTCCCTCATTACTCAATTCTTTGGCTGCAATACTGAGCTCCCTATCTAAAAAGATGTCAATTTCCTGAAATTAAACAAAAACCAAGGGGTTTTTCTCACTGAGGAAGGTACGCAAAAATATTTAAAAAAAACAACTTAACTTTGAAATGTATTCGCAATTAGTTCAGATTGGACAGTTAACATATTCAAACTCAAAACTAAAACGTCATTAGATAAGCTGTACCTTTTGGTAAGCAAAACTTCATTAGATTAGATGTATCTGGATTAGAAAGTGTGTTTGTTACTGTTGTTATTGTTTTATGGCTATTGTTACGTATAGTTAGTTCCCTCTATCTTCTCTCAGAAAAATTAATCAAGTGCCCTTTCTGCAATTGAGATTTCTTTTCTGTCTATTCACAATGCCTGCAGTTTATAACACACAAGTCAGTCTCTAACTGTGTTCTTTTTTCGTATTTCCCAGGTTGTTTCATGGATCATATTCTTGTATTTCCAGTAGTTTGTAAACTTCTCGAGGGTGAAAAATCACACTTAATCTGAGTCCTAGCCTTAGCGTTAAAACTAGAGCCTACTCTTAATTAATATTTGAATGGTTGGTTGAGTTTTGTAAAAATCGAGTTAGCTATAGGTTATATATTTTTAAAAAGTTGTTTCAGGAGCAATGAGAGGAACATCTATCCATTCAACATATTTCTTGAGATTTAGCTATATTCCAAACATTGAGCCTATGCTCTCTGACAACATATTAAAATTTACACATGCTTAATTTTAAAAATAGAAACAAGAAAGGAAATTATTCCAATGGATAAAATAATATATACTGCGATTTCTCATTTTGGAAGTTGAAAGGAGAGGCAACTGGTAAAAGAACAAAGATGAAAGGTAAGATGAGAAGGAGACTAAA